TAAAAGGCGGGCTGCGACCCTCGAAAACCGTGTCTCCTCTACCCAAACTGACGCCATTCGGTTCCGACCAAAGTGAAAGTGTGAGAGATATTACTGTAGGGAGGAGTGACGATTGTATATACAGCCCCTCGCGTTTCTCGTCTGGTTTTTCGCCTAACGAGATCCAACCAGACGAAAAATTCACCCATTCTAATTTTTTTTTCCTCTCTTTCTTTAACCTTTTTCTTTTCTTTTTCTCTCTCTCTCTCTCTCTCTCTGCCCGATACAGGTGATCAACTACGACAGTCCAAGAGGCGGTGTATCGGTGATCACCGAGAAAGGGGAAGTTACAACGTCGTATCTCCTTGTGCAGCGTGCCCAACCTGCAGATACCGGCCGGTATACCTGCCATCCGAGTAACGCTAATACAAAGACTGTCCTGGTGCACGTACTTAATGGTATGTACATACATTTGCGTAAAACTTGAAATTTTTCCAGAGTATCTACGGTCAGGTTTTTTCCACCTTAAGAGCGGCGGCGCTAGAATCGCGCTTACTTTTTCTTCCCGTTGCTTATTCCGTTAGTTTTAAAGGGGGACGGAGGAGGTGTTAGCGTTGAATTCCACCGTTCCTGCGGCTTGTTCAAACCGAGAGCAAAGGAAAATAATCGGAATGGACGCGAAGGAAAAACTAATTCCGAGAAATACAGCCAGAGAGGTTAATTTATTTTTTTTTCTTTCATTTCTAAAACTCTAACTGGGGGGTGAAATTTGCAGGAATATTATTTTGGACTAGTTTGGTTTGCTTTACTTCTGGTGATCTTTTTTTTTTTTTACCAGGATGACGAAGAAAGGTGTTGTTACTGAACTCCCGATTTCTCTTGATTGTTTTGAAACTGAGAAAAGGAGAAAATGTGCTTGAAATAAAAACGGAAGGGATTATTTTTTGCGAAGAGAAGGAAAGAGGATTAATTAGTTATGTAGGTTAATTAATTTCGATGTTACCGACCGAGTAACGTTAATAAGAGGAACCGTCTACTTGCATGTACTTAACCGTATTTACACGTGTTTATGAAAAGCTTTTTTAGATTTGCAAAATTTTCAGTAGACCTTCTCAATTGTTGAAATCTCTTGGCATCCTCCACTTCCGGTTCTGAAATGATCAAAGATGCGCTATCGTTGAATTCTCGATTCACTGAATTATATTTCACGTGAAATCAGTGAAATAATTGCCGTGGAAGAAGATGAAGAAACGAGAAGATTCGTGTTTAGCGGTAATTAGTTTGATTAATTACGGTAACTGTCTGCGTTCTTTCGGAAGTGGCTGTTGAAATTCAAGCTAGCGGTCGTTCGTTCTTGTAAATGCGGGTTTAAATCCTCAAAGGTTCACGTAACACCTTCCCTACCTACCTACCAGAGAACAATTGTAGAATTATGTTTAACATAATTGAAAACGATCCAAGCACCCGAAATTGAAGTGGGTGCACCGTGAATTTAACGTTTAAATCACAATCGAAACTTTTTTAAAATACTCCCTACGTCATCCTCTAATTGAGCTCCGTCGAATTAAAAACGATTTCCAAATATAACGTCCACCGAAGGAACGCGTTAAATCACAGAATACACGTGGAAACTTTTTACATTATTTGATACTCGTGGAAGCTGACGAAGTTTCACGAGCAAATGGCCCTCGTAATCAAGCCAGAATTAGAGTTGAAATAGAACGTCGAATTTCGAATTGAAAACCTTCCAAAATATCCCCGAACAACCCCTAACCTCGATGACATAACCTGTAACGAGACGTGCATAACCTAACATCATTTCTCTGGAATTTTCAATATCTTCCTTCTTTTCCAAATACGGCAGACTAAATAATACAATTCCGAGAGAATAGAAAAATCGAATATTTCGAATCAGAGACTCGTTACGAGTAGTTAAACATTTCTCTTGCATTAACACGTCGCAACTTTTTCGGAAAAATATATCTCATACCTCTATGGGGAACGGTATGAAGTTTGCTCAGAGAGAGTAGCCGGATCTAATCGAGTCTCGACGAAACGCAGAGGGGTTCGAGTCGAAAGAGTCAGTGAATCGAGTTAACCTGGCTGTTCCGTGGAAATTGAATAGCACACTTTAAGTATAAATTTCTCAAGATGAGACGAAATTGATTTACGCCACTGTCATTCTCTCTATCTCTCTATCTCTCTCACTGTCTCGATTATTTCGAACACAGTAACACTATAATGGTACAGGAAAAGTACAGGAAGAGAAGGAAGGTGAATACTTTTTAAATTGCCGTGGAAACAGCGTAGTTTTGGTGGTCCTTTTTGTGTCGTTTTTTTTTTTTCGAGACAGAGAGAGAGAGAGAGAAAATGAAAGAGAGGTTAGGGAGAATGAAAGAAGAAGCGAAACAAGTATAAAAATGAGCTACACTCTCGGACAATGCAATTTTGCCCTGAAGACTTTCCTCCTATGCCCATAAAAACAACGGAGTTATTTAGGTGCCTTCCACTTTATATAATATAATGTTACGTGGAAGAGATGCGACTAACTTTATCGTCTAAAGCGTTCTTACTCACTCCCCCCCCCCCCTCCCTCTCCACTTGTTCTTTTTTGCCCTCTCGGGCCAGTGTGTATCATGATTCGGGGATCTTGCGAGAATAAATATGCAAGATGTATTTTCTGCACTTTGTCTGACATTTTAGGTATTGCAACGAACAGATGATTAAGTTTAGATTCTTTACCAGTAACGAAACGAAGAATAGAATTGTACATGCCACTTCTGGATCATAAGTTACGTTAGGTTTACAAAATTCAATATTTTTTTAGGTTATACATTAATAGTTGCATGTAAACTGGTTGACATCTTTAGAGGTTAAGGTGCAAACAACTTGTACACGTATTTATCACTTTAGACGATACTCCGAAGGATTCTAGATCTCCCATTAATCAAACTTCCACTTAGAATTCAGAAACATCGTATAAAAAATTTCCCAAAGTATAATCTTCCATTTGTCAGAATTTATTATGTAATCCCGAATTTGTACATTTCCGACAGTGTACATTTGTACATTTTCACAGTTACGCAAATTATCCAGGGATCGAAGAGGCTCAACTTGCGGTCACAATTAAATAGAATCCCTCCGATTACATCCATTCTTTTTTTCTCCACCAGAGTTGAATGAAATTCCACGTACCGATTGTATAACCAGCTCACCCTACCTAATAGAGGATAGGAGGGATAAGAAATACAAATCGCGGCTCTGAATCACCATATCCGTTTCAAGATTTTATCCCTGTCCGTTTGGTCATGAATGGGGCTTCCCTTCCTTCCTTCCTTCCTTCCTTGTTAAGAGAGGGACTCGACACAATTTTGCATCCTGTAATTAATAATTCGCTTTCGACGTTCGCCTTTTGTGCGCTTAGTTTTTTACAGTCACGCGCCACCTCTCTACGTTCCTTATAACTCGAACATCATCTTCCCCCACCACCGTCTCGCTCTCTGGAGCCCTCTTTATATATTTTCTAGTCGAAGACGAATCAGGAAAACACCTTCGTTTCGTGTCATAACAGCAGCAGTTCGAGAAAAAGGGGAAGAAGGAAGTTCGTTGAGGCGGAAAGCGAGATTCACGAGTTTCCATTAACTGGCCTGTTAATGAATTCTCGTTAAAAACTGCTCCGTTGTCGTAATCGTGTTTCTACTGCTGTGAAACTCCAACCTTCCTCTGCCCCTTCTTTCCCTTCTCGTCGACCGTCCGAGAAACAGAGAGGAACGACAGTGTGGAAAGACAAGGAGAGAAGAGAAAAAACGGGATCGTATTTCATAAC